GAAATCTGAGCTCTTTCTCCAGGTATCCAAGACTATGTTCTTAAATAATCACAAAGTTTTCTACTGCATAACTCAACTTAATTCAGACACTTTGCTTGAATTGGCATTAAAATGTTGTAGTATACACAAGGAATTACAAACTGCAGTGTCCTGTATGATGATTAAATTCTTTGTGCTGGTTTGGGCTGAAGTAGAGTTAACTTCAGCTAACTTAATTCATACAAGTTATTATGACTGGAAAGAACTGAAGTGAGAGCGAAGTCTTACATCAATGGCCCTTAGATTGTCCAAGAGAAGGTTCCCCTGACAGCAGAGCTGCCATGACATGATATTCACATTGCCAGATTTTAGAAGCCTCTGTAGAACCAGTGCAGTAAGCTCTTCATGACACCTATGTCCTGGTCTGATAAGACACAGGAGGGTTCAGTTGATTCCCCCAATGTGAATTAAGACATAAACAAGGTCAAATGCTGTTAGTGAGATTTTATTATTGGTCACACGGGGTGATGGGGGGCAAAGGGCAATAGGAGAAACAGGAAAGGGGGATGTAAGAAGGGGGAGAGAAGGGGCAATAAGAATTAGAAACAGGAAAAGGAGAAGTAAGCAAGGCTTGAGATGCGAAAGCAGAGTCACCACCATGGATCTAGCAGTGTTCTCATGAGTAGTAGTAGTAGTCTTCTTTGGTGGTGGGTGCGTGCGCGTTTACACACACGCGATCTCTAGATGTTGGCCCTTTTTTACAGGGCTCTGCCAGGATGCCGATTGATCAACTCCCCGTGAGTTGAGATTCCCAGAGCAGGCACCTTGTGAGTGTCCTGGGAAAAAGTTGTGATTCAGATGTGGCCAGAGATTTATAATAGACAGTGAAGCCTTGATATCTCAGCAGCTGGAGAAGTTTGGTGGAATCTTGGCGGACAATGGCGGCTTGCTGTCTTGGCAGCTAGAGAGGATCTTGGTTGTTATCTTGACAGCCAGGGGATTTCCATGGCTGGAGACATCCTGTGGCTCAGCAAGCTTTGAGGCAATCAACCTTTGCCACACTACAAGCCAACAAAGCCAGGCAATATCAAAACAAATGTCTTAAAGACCCCTCACACCAAGCCATGCTTTGACATTGCCATGGGCAACATTGAAATCTTACATGATGGTGGTATGAGGATAGCAAGTAGAGAAGGAAAGTAAGTTTAGAAGAAAGCAAGTTAAAAGGTATTTCCAATAACAATTCAATGCGAATCTAGCCAATGCCAGCAACAGTTAGAAGATACAAATTTGGCTAATGCCAACAATAGTGTAAAATACTTCAGTTTGGTGCCAAATAGATATTTTAGTTTTAGGAATATCAGTGGAATCATCCTCTTCAAGCAAAGGAGTATAGTTGGTGAGCTGAACCATATTCATAGAATCAGCCAGGTTAGAAGAGACCTCAAAGATCATCAAGTCCAACCCTACCATGGTTACTAGACCATGGCACTAAGTGCCACATCCAGTCTCATCTTGAAAACCTCCAGGGATGGTGAAACCACCACCTTCCCTGGACAGCCCATTCCAATGCCTGACTACTCTCTGTAAAAAACTCTTCCTAATATCCAGCGTAAAACTCCCCTGGCAGAGCTTGGGTCTGTGCCCTCTTGTCCTCCTGCTGGTTGCCTGGGAGAAGAGACCAACCCCCACCTGACTATAACCTCCTGTCAGGGAGTTGTAGAGGGTGATAAGATCTCCCCTGAGCCTCCTCTTCTCCAGGCTAAACAATCCCAGCTCCCTCAGCCTCTCATAGCACATGTGCTCCAGTCTTTTCACCAGCCTTGTTGCTCTTCTCTGGACACTCTCCAGCACCTCAATATCCCTCCTGAACTGAGGTGCCCAGAACTGCACACAGGACTCAAGGTGTGGCCTCACCAGCGCTGTCCAGGGATGGAATCACCTCCCTGGTCCTGCTGAC